TATAGTTAAAAAATCCAACTTATCAAACAAAGATGCAGATTAATGATTGAAGAGCCATCACCTTAATTCACTAAATTATGGAGCATCCAAAATCTAAACTCAACAAATTCACTTGAAATTCTATTGACAAAACTTGAGCTAACTCATGAAGATTTGTAAACATTGGGAAAATTTCGGGAGTAAAATTATTATTACAAATGTTAGGGGGTGAAATCAAAGCAAAATAAAGCTCTGAAAATTAATTAAGCTCTAATTGTCTCCTAAAATCAGGAAAAAGATTTGCCTAAAGCATGGTTAAAACACAAAGAGAATGTTTAACTTTCCAAAGGGTAAAGTTGATTTTTTCCATATTTTTTGGGCCATAGTAGCATTATGGAGAAATTTGGGGGCAAAAAATGTAATTTGTGAACTTGCATGCAAATCAGATTCGAAGAAAGCTCCAGCAACTGGAAGCTTTAGAAAGCTCCAGCAACTGGAAGCTTTTCTTCTCGCTGCTACAACCCATATCCGCAGAAACCTCAGACCGAAACAACCATCAAAACTCATCATCAGATTTTACGTAAAGAATGAAAATGAAACCCTTTTCCATGTATCACCAAGATTAAACCCAATATGTCAATCACTAAACATGATATTCAAAGTTCATCACATGAATATGCAGCCCAGGTTCCAAACAAGAGAACAGCAAGATAATCAAGGAAGAAAAATGAAGATTTTGATGCAAAGTTGCAAGGTTGGCTATTCTTTCATTTGACATTGCCTCTCTCAAACTGATCAAGGATTAGCAAAAATACAGCAAATGATAAAAAACAGCTTTTAACTAGCAGACGTGAAGATCCAAACAATAAAGGCAGCATAGCTACAATTGTCAAGCATTGTCAACAGCAAAACAACTCCAGATTCACGTCTCATAGGCTCGGATTCTCATGAAAACAGTGTTAAAGCAATAAAGGGAGAAGTGATGGTTACCTCAAAACCCTGGTGAAGTAAAATGAACGTGAAATGCCTCCAAGAAATCGCGCTGATTCCAGAAATGCAGTCGAGAACTTTCGTTGCAGAAATTTCAGCAGTGACACAGTTCATAATTTGGGCCGCAATTTGAGAGGGTTGAAAACTTTTTTGCTGATTGATTCCTTAACAAAAATTGTTCGTGGGGATCCAGAGATGGTGCAGAAAGAAAGATCTCGTTCTGAAGGTTGGAGGTTAGGTCGGAATTTGACTGGAAAGTCAGCTGGTTCGCCAACCTGATTCCAGAAAATTTTTTTAGCTTTTCAATGTTTTTTCTTTTCCTCTCGGTTTTCTCTCTTTTCCTTTCTTTCCTTTCTTGCTCCGCCGCCCTCCTACTCTTCCTCAGACTCTCCCCAGATCCTCTCTTCCTTTCTTCCTTTTGTTTGCTCCTCTTTCTTCCGCTCTTCTTTTCTTTCTTTTTTTCCCCGCAACTCCCTTTTTCCTCTCTGCGCGAAGCCTCTGGTCTTTTCCCCGCAACTCCCTTTAGTTAGTTATTTTGATTCCAAAGGGGGTAAAAAATAAAATTTGGGTTTAGCTATATGTATGAAAGAGCATACAATAATGATGTATATGGCAAATCGCATGGTCTGGTCTAAAAGACAAATAGGTCAAGAAAATATTTATATTGGGTTAGTTCACTTCTTTAACATTCATTTTTTTTTTTTGGGTACTTATGGTGTTTAAGCAAGTTACACTATCCTTTTCCTATTTTTCTTTTCTTTTCTTTTCTTTTTTTTGGAATACATGAATACCAAATGGAATAAGAGTAAATAAATATACCCAAAACAACATATTGCATCATTATTTCTTGACATATGGAATAATAGAAGAGGATAGTCAATAAAATTTAAATCTTGCTTTTTATTAAAGAGAGAATGCGATACCGATACATAAAAGTATCGCTACATAAAAATACTGAAGACACTATGGTGCGAACTTTTCCGTGGGAGGAGATGTGCACTGATGGGTAACACAAACACAAATGAATTGCACATATTTTTTGCCAACAAACCGACAGTGTCCTTCGCCATTGTACTTCTGTTTGCAAACTGCGGGACAGGTTTCATCAGGATGACGCCAATGATATACTTCAGGTGGAAAAGTCTGAAGTAACGATAGTTATGGTAACGAAACTATTTTTACCTGATATAACAGGTAAAAATACTTTTAGCGACCATTTGATTACCTGTTGTACTGGTCATCTAAATGAAATAGTTCCTAAAATTTTGGTTAGTAAGTTTTGCATAAAAAATAGTAAGTGAACTCGATATATTAGTAACTTTTATGTCTCAAAAAGTAAACTTGAATAAATATGGAACTAACTTTATTTTTTTGAAGTAAAATACTACTCTATATCTGAAACTTAGTTTTTGGAGAGTAAGTTTAGTTCAATTAATAGTAAGTTTTTATAGATTAATAGTAAATATTGTTGATAGAATAGTAAATTTGGTTAATCATCAAAACTTAATAGTTTGTGGCATAAATTTACTATTTTACTTAAAGAAACTTACAATTGTACGTATTATTTATAAATGTTATGTGTTTGAAGCATTTTAAATATTCCATGAAACCTTTTTTTTTTGCATATGACCTTATGAAATATGTAAGAATAATTTGTCATATTTTAAATTTTTAATTATGGGAAAATAAACAACTAAGTTCCCAAAATATTTCACTTTTATTGTTTAAAAAATCTAAACTTGTTGGTTAAATTTAAAATAATTCTATTGTCAAAAATAGTTTTTCTCAAATTAACTTTGATGATTAGATGTGAGATACAAATATGCTAAAATATCCCTCATACATATGTAATGGATATTTCAGACTTTTAGTAAAAAAAAAAAAAAAATCTTGTCGTTAAAATAACATATATCATAGTGTACTAATTATTTTAGGACCATTTTATAGGTGAACTAAATTTAATTTAAATTATACAATAGATTATACATGCATGTGATTTTCATTTATAATTATTGGATCCTATTCTTATGAACAATCTCCCAAGGAAAAAAATCCAGATCATACTGATTTTCTTATATGAATTGTTATACTAATTTTGTCATTTTTATTATTATATTATTTCTCATTTTGGTTAGGCTTTTACTCTTATTATTTCTTGTGTCTCAGATGTAAATTTATTAAAACTTTATCATCTTATTATATTCATAGGTGTTAAATTATAAAAATTTTGATATATAAACAAGTAATATTCTATATATAACTAGGAAGATTTGTTGTTATTGTTATTCGAACTTTCAAACTTTTCAAAAATGGAAAATGATTAAAAGCTTATAATACGACAAAATTTTATTACATATTTCACAAGATTATGTGAAAAGTCAAACTATTTTTCATAGTATTTTAAAATATATAAATAAATTTTTTAAATTATACCTATAATCATGTATTATACAAGTATATTATGAGTACTTACTAACTAAGGTACTAAGAATTAATCATTAATAAAACATCTTATCGTTATTTCAAATAAATTTCCTAATACTATTTTGAAATTTGGTTTAAAATAAAATAGTACATGTGTCCCATAAATCAGTAAGTTTTGATTATTAATCAATTTACCATGTTATTAGTAAGAGTTACTATTTATGTATAAAAACTTACTATTACTTGAATTAAACTTACTCTCTAAAAAGTAAGTTTGGGATATAAAGTAGTAATTTATTTATTTAAAAAGTAAGTTTAATATTTATTCCAACTTACCTTTTGAAGTATAAAAGTTACTAATTTATTACGGTTAACTTATTATTTTAGATAGAAAACTTACTTTCTTAATTTTAAGTGTTATCCTATTTAGGTGGATAGACCTATCAAATAATCAAATGATCGCTAAAAGCAAATAAAAAATAAATCAAAAATGGTCATCCAAGTGTTATCCTATTTATGTCTTAAAAAGTAAATTGAAATAAAAATGAAAGTTACTTTTTTTAAAAAATAAATTACTACTCTATATTCGAAACTTACTTTTTGGAGAGTAAGTTTAGTTCAAGTAATAGTAAGTTTTCACGGATTAATAGTAAATCCTGTTGATAAAACAGTAAATTTGGTTAATCATCAAGACTTACTAGTTTGTGGCATAAATTTACTATTTTACTTAAAAAAACTTATATGAAACAAGTATTAGGAAGTTTATTTAAAATAATGCTAAGATTTTTTTATTAATGATTGAAACTTAATATTATAGTTAGTAATTGTTGGTAACGTAAATGTATAATATATGATTGTATGTATCATTCATCAATGTTATGTGTTTTAAGCATTTTCATAAATGTATGTATCATTTACAAAGGTTATGTGTTCTAATAAATTTATTTTCTAGGTCACAAGTATAAAAGTTAAATTTGTACTAATGTGGCATAATCTTTGAAAACTATAGTAAATTTACCCACATATTAAGTTTCGTGAGATTCAAATATATTTTGTATCATTTACAATATGGATTTATACGCACATTTTTTTTATCAAACTTACTTTTAATTGGCAAATAGTATGTAAATTATTATAAAATGTCATTTTATAATAATCATAATTTGTATAGGTGAATGGTATATAAACTGCTAAAATTGCCAATTTATAAATGATCAAATCTTACTACTTTATGGCATATATTAGTTTGGTCAACTAAAAAATTATCGTAATTAAGTGTACGTTGGTTGTTGATTTGAAATTTGCACCCCTGTCACTATTTCGTTATTTCTACCACAAGTTTTTCTAATCAAAGTAAAACAAAGTCAAATATCTTTTCCTTTTGTATGTAGTATTTATATTTAGTAAAAAATTAAAAATTGCCAAGCACAATCCATAAACATAAAGAATGAAATTATAAAGGAGTATATGAAATGTACATATATAGCTAACATTTTTTGCCTTCTAACATCACGCCAATGAGTGGATCAAAAATAGCATTACTCATTCATATCTAGTTTTGAAAAGCTATTCTAACCGTAGAATAAGACAATTTTAAGAGTAGACGATTACTTGCAATTTTTGCATTGTCGTCGCTTTCGCTTGTGAGTGGAATGTTTTGCCTTTTGTCCCTTTGTAGCAACAACAATTGGATCACGAACATCAAAATCACTCCTCTTTATGGACTCATCCATCATATTATCCTTTTTTTTAGCTTTATGCACTAGAGGCGCATCATTCACCCAAAGATTTTTGAAACGAGATGTTGAATTTATAATGCACTCTCTAGCTTCATCATATCCTTGCTGTGTCTTAACTGCATAAAAACACATTTGATTACTTAATGCACATAAAGCACCAAATCGAGCTGCTTGAATTGCTGAATCTTCAAGTTGAATAGAATATATGTTTTTTTCGGCTGGCTTTGCTTGCTGAGTCCATCTAAACAGAATGCATGATTTAGGAATCTCGTCCATATCCTCAGCTTTCATAACTGCAAACGCATGGGAGCAAGGAATTCCATCTGACTCAAGTTTCTTACATGAACAAATAATAGTCCTTTCAGATTTATCCAATTCCACTTGCCAAGAGCAAATTCGATGCAAGTACTCAGTGAATGTATATAACTTCACCTTATCTTGATCAACAACTGAAACGAGGCGGAGTGAGGCTTCAGCAGAAATTTCATCACGAATCTTGAAAAAAATCTTTCTTGTGAAAATGCTTGCAGCATTTCCTTCCAATTCTCTCAAATGAGTAATTAGAACAGGAGATGACTGGCTTGTGATACATTTTTCCTTGTGTTCATTCTGCCTAACTTTTGATAAAAATAGCTCAAATCGATGAGCAAACGGGTAAAGTAGCATTTTGAATTGAAGGTACTTGTGCGCCGTAGCATTCAATTGCTCTGATCTTTGGGTTGATTTCATTCCAGCAAAAAAGTGTCCTCTCAAAAATGCAGCAGCCCATTTTTCCCTTTTGTTGTATAAATCGACAACCCATTGGTTATCTCTCAAATTGTGTTTCTCAACTAGCAAATGCCACCTTCTCTCAAACTCTTCATGGCTACAAATCATGTCCATAGCCACATCAAAATCAAGAACGAACCCCTTATTTGTATGGGTAACAACATTTCTTTTTAAATGCCAAGCACATAATCGGTGACGGGCAGAAGGAATAACTGCCTTTATTGCATTTCTCATTGCACCATCCCCATCAGTGACAACTGAGATAGGTGCCTTTTTTTCCATGGCCTCCAAAAATGTTTCCAATACCCACTTATATGTGTCCTCAGTCTCATCAGCAATTAATGCACACCCAAAAATTGTGGTAACATAGTGATGATTTACGCCGGCCAAAATTACTAGTGGCTTCCTATAAGCATTGGTGCGGTATGTAGAGTCAAAGACAAGAACATCACCAAAACATTGGTAATCCAAACGAGATTGAGAATCTGTTCAAAAGAGTCGTATCAATCGCTTCTCCACGTCAACGGCATACTTGTAAAAGAAATTTGGCTCACCATTTGCTCGACCATCCAAATATGCCAACACCTGAAAGGCATCACCAACTTCAAGTGCATTTCTATGGAATTGGTCAACAGCATTTCGTAGATCCTTTTCTGTGTATCCCATCTTGTTGTGGCCCCCAGCTTGGTAAGCTTGAAGGTCCACTATTTGAGGAATTCGAATACCAACTCCATGCATCAAAATAGCATGCTCCAAGTCTGCTGGGTTGACACTCCTATGTGATCGAAGAAATTGTACAAATTCTTGATTTGCCAATTGGTGATTGTGATCCATATTAAACCGCTTAATCGTAAACTTCTGAATATCCTTGTTCCATTGCACAATTATAGTTGCCAGACAACCAACGCTCGTAAGGCGTTTTGCCTCTTTCTTACGGTTAACTAAATTTAACCATTTGCTATTTCTAAAGCCCTCTCTGTTGCATACCCATCGTTTGTATGTCACAATACCTTTCCGATCTTTCTTTTCATCCCGCTCTCTAATACCAAAACCGACCATTTTGCTATGACATAGGTAAAATTCTCTGGCATCTTCAATGGAATCAAATGTTAATACTTGAATTTCATCAGAAGATAATTTGTCAAGCCGATCAACAATGGTTCTCCAACTTATACCACCACCAAGCTTGGCCGATTTGTTAGATAACTGTTCTAGTTCATCTACATGAGCTGTCATTTCTTCCATTTTCAGCATGATGCTAGAAGCTATCAAGTCAAAGATGCTATCATGTCAGTCAAAGAGGCTATCAAGTCAATGTTTGTGTTGATGTATGTTTTCTGAGATTTTTACTTAAATTCTTTGCAATACAAATGAAAATATTACAACTTTGGACTCCTACGCAATCTATACTCAAGTTGATCATACCCAAAGATTGGAATCCTACGCAGCCCATACCCAAAGATTAATTCTTAATTCTTAGTCATTCAAATCTTTTGATGCGAACTCCAATATCTCCCAAATAAAACAGCCTAGTAACTCAGTTTTCATCGCTAAAGAATCAAATACTCATAGCTATCATTACTTTTTTATGCAAAAGTCGACATTTTTAGGTAAAGACCCCCGGTTACTAGGTAACGAAAACCAGCAGACTATAGCTCAATGTAATAAACTAAACATAAAAGCACAAGCAATAATACAAAGGGTAAAAAATAAAAAAGTCGTTTATGGTTAAGCAAACATATAGAAAAGCCCCATGTGATTTCAAAACATACAATCCGACATCTCGTGATTTGAATTAAATTGAAAGATGATGAAAATCGTTAAAACTAACGTATTTGAGGCACATGCGCTTGCTTTGCAACTAATAGTACCTTAAAGCAATTTTTATAATTAATTTTCATTTGATATACCTATTTTACCCCTTATAGAGAAGCCCCTAGTGGTTAACTTAACCTACAAAAAAAGCCCTCTATAGCTTCGAAACATATACGTTGGATTTAATTCGAAACTTTCAGGAAATATATTGGAAAAAGAGTAAATATTCTTGATAGAAATCAACCGCCGGTCTTATGTACACTACTTTTGGGATATGGTAAAAGTTTTAAATTTGGGTTTTTACTATTATAATATTATCTTAGAGTCTTTTTTAAGAACTTAAAGTAAGAATTTAGAGAGTCTACTTTTTTTTTTGTATAAAGTGAAGGAAAATTTGACAAAATAGTTACTTATATCTTTTTCAAACTTTCGAGTCAGCAAGCAAAACTAGACCCTACGATACTAGTATAAGATTTGTAAGTGTTCATGAAAAGCGAAAGTAAAAATTGTCAAGGTCGACAAAGCCATCAAAAGAGGATGATTGTGAATTTTTTTGTAATTATGGTGCTATCCCACATACAGATATTAATCAATCTAGAACAACTATTTTATGTATGACAGGGATAAATGTTATATATTTTGAAACCACAATGGACTTTTCTGTAATTTGGCTTAACCATAGGGGATTTTTCTGCATTTTATCCTTATATATATCTGGATATTTTTGTCATTTTATCTATCCACTTTAGTTTTGACAATTTCTATCACCTCTCCAATTTGGTTCAAACTATGAGATGCTCAATTGTATGTTTCAAAACTACAATGAGCTTTTTCGTATATTCGCTTAACCACAGGTGGCTCTTTTGTTTTTTACCCTAATACAAAAGCATACTTCATATCTCAATAATATGGGGAACTAAGATTGATAATTAGGCCAAATTCACAATAAAAATGCTAGAAAATTATTTACAATGCCTAGAAAAGTTAGCCAAAATTGAAAAGATCTCATAATACCAAATATTCACTAAAGAAATGCTGTATAGTAACACCATTTAACGCTTAACACATACACAAATACAAACCTTAACAGTAATAAAACTTGAAATATAAGCCATTGCCTTTCAGGAAATCGACAAAAATTTTAAAAATTTTAATCATAAATTTCACTTCACCTTTCTACCCCTCTCCTACACTTAAGATAACATTGTCCTCAATGTTAGGGATAAAATAAAGAATTAATAACATGAAAAGAACTGAAAGTGAAATTCTCCTGACAACAAATGGAGTGCCAAAGACCAAATGCAGTGAGCGAAGTTGTCAGTTATCATCCAATAGTCAACCTCAGGAAGCCATCCCACCTCAATATAAAAAGACAAGAAAACACTATAAATAGTAATTAAATACACCACCAAATAATCCAAACTAGAAAGCAATAAAATTGTAAAGAAATAAACACCACCATTAATCCAAAAAAAGGAAAATGTTAAATGAAGTTAAAAAGAAAGTCGAGTTGCTTTCCGAGAAGCACTAAGTTTAATGTCTTCAACCAACTAAGGCCAGCTAAGCTCAAGAAGGATAAAAAGTTTCAGCTCGTCTCATTGCTTCCACATTATGCTTTGGAAACCCTTCATGGTATGGTTGAGGAAGCAACTTAGTTTCATTCTCCACAGCTACCACCCGCACAGAGTAGCAATCATAACATACAAATTTCTCTTTGACATTTCACCAAACATCTTATATGCATTCACAAATTAATCACATTTAACTTAAACGTCTAGTCTCAAGTCCTTTCCTAGATGTTTCATATGGCTATTAAGCATATTTTACCCGTAGACAATCAAAACTACAACCATTTCCTAGATGTTTCAACGGACATTTTCAGCCCCAAAATTGCAATAAAATCTTCAAATTCTCAGCCTTGATTTCGCAAGAAAATCTTGACAAAAAAAACAAATGAAATATAAATAAATTACAGCAATGTAGTCAAACGATTTCAGGTGGACATGATGGACTAACCTCGGCACTGCTCTCTTTGATTGGCTACCACCGTCGCAAAACCCTTTTGTTGTGTCTGCATATGGCAGCACCCAAAACCAACCGATCGATGAGAAAGGATAGAGGGAAAGTGTGAACTAAAGATGAAAAAGGTGAAGTGAGAAAATTTATTCAATTGTAACCAAGAGAAAGTGTGGACCAAAGTGGAAACCTTGGCCTGGGAATTCAATCGTATCGTTGGAACTGAGGACTAAATAAGAAGAAGGCAGATGACTTTACAGAGATAGGTGATACCCGAAAGTGTTTCAGGAACCCAAAACCGTTTTCAGGAACCGGTAATTTTTTTTTACTTAAATATGTACATTTTTTACTTTTAGTATTAGTAAGTTTGATTCAACCATAAGTAAATTTTGTCAAATAAAAAGTAAATTAAATTACTCAAAGTGTAAATTTGTATTTCTGACTAAAACTTATCTTTTAGGCATATACTTACTAGTTTTAATTAAAAAGTTACTAAAGTTCATCAATAATTGCATGACACTTCTCCAAAACAGATTGACAATGCTCGAACTGGAAATTATTTGTACAAAAATTTCAGTTTCAACAAATATACAGGTCCTATCATGCTCATATGATTTAGGACTCATAGCTTCTTTTAATTTCAAGCTCTAAAAAAGGTTACAAGTGCTTTCCTTTACAAAAAGGAAGTGCCAAGAGCACATATAGATGATCATCTTAGTGAAACAGTACTATAAAAACCTAAAGGTTCACAATACCGTACAATATTGTGGGCAGAATACCAACTGACTGCATAGACAATGCCTACTATGGACAACTTCATATTACTCAACTGGGAAGAGTCTCCCACAAAATGGAAAAACTCTGGACTGTGGACTGGGATGGCAGCAGTCTGTTCTTAAAGCAAACAAAGAAACATGCATGAAGGAACCTTACCAACCATGTTGCAAAAGGAAAATGATCAAATAAATTCTCCGACAAGAGAAACAACAAATTTTGCATAGAGTTCAGCAATGTAAAAAATGGCCAATGCTCAAAAGTTAAAAGAATGATTATGTGTATTCTGTTTTTCTAAGCAACAGTAGTCCATAAATTGACCAGAAATCCGAGAACGATGATAATGCAATTAAATAAACAAAATCTCATCTTATCAATCACGTCTTAAAAGAATAACTTATTTTGCAGGATGACAAAAAGGCTTCATAAATATGAAAGAATCTATAGTGATCTATCCATGACATACCAAGAACGATCCCTTGAGCACCTCTGTAGTATGAGCTTGTCAAGGTCCTGAACCTCTCTTGTCCAGCTGCAAAAGGTGTCATGAGCCCCATCAGATCACGGAGAACAAAATATGCAGTAATAGGACAGTGGAAATAAATAGCAAGAGGGGCGTACTATCATCAGAAAGTAGTAGCTTGGATTATTTATGAAAAAGGAGGCTAAGCTTATTTTAAGTCATGAATCAAGGATCCCAACAATAAATTTCCATTAGCAGCACTAGGAAAAAGAGGAATACAAACCCAAATTGGGTCTGATCATGGTGAAGTAGGACTGATTGTCAGTTTCTAATCTTAAGGAGGAAGAAGTTGCATGATCAGCTGCGATGGCAAGACAAAACCTTCTGACAGATAAGAAGATTTACATATAATAACAACTTCTGGGGAAAATGTTAATTAGGATGGCACGGCATGTTGAGAACAGTAGAGAAAGTACAAACATTTGACTTGTACTAGGTAAAGCGCAAAATGTCCTGCTGTATTTTGTGAAATTACAGCTAGTTCTATGTCCAAAGAGATTTACCACTTGAGCCTATGATAGGGAAAAAAAACAAATAAAAGTAAAGGTGTATCATCATATTTGCACAAAAGAACTTCATAAAGAGAATTCGGAAAGCTGCCATAAACAGTTAGCAAAACTATAAATGATAGGATCTGCTTACCGGTATCCCAAATTGTAAGCTTCAACTTCTTCCCACCAACAGTGAGCAGCTTGATCTTAAAATCCACACCTGGAATGAGGCACAAAATCGTCGGTTAGCAGATGCAGATTAAGCTGGCTCACAGATTCAACTCTATATTGGAGGGAGAATCCTTGTTGTCTGATAGGATACATAAAAAAAAAAGTGCTGGTGTATCGACCAGTCATGTAATTGTAGCCAAACAAACTGCAGATTCTAAGGATTTCACCAAGAGGAGGAAAGTTCAAACTAAAACAATCACTCTCTGGCATACAGTCTACATAGAAAAATCTATATTAACATGTGATGAAAACTTGCTGCCGAGAAATCTCCATATTGATCCAATTAATGTGCGCCCCCTGGCTCTTAAAAACCGATTTGACAACCAAAATTTTGCTAATTAAACAGTAACTAATGATTTGCAATAAGTGCAATGGATGATTGGAGACGACAAATTAGTTCACTCCAAATCATAGAGCAGAACAGGAGACGCTACTTGTAACAGTAAAATTGAAATCTGGTATCAAAATCATTGTGCTTTAAAGATGAGATCACTCAGTAAAACACTACACAATAATTATCATAAAAATGTGCAGTAATGCATATAATCCGCATTTTTAAATTTCTTAATTCGAAGTACGATCGATACATAGTATTAGATAGAGGTGTACCCGTATCATCAATAATTGCATAGGGGGGAAACCCTTTCTCCTGAACCTGTGCTATCTATAAAGCATATTTAGCTTTTCCTCCACGCCTAGGCAGGCCAATTGATTGACCGAAATGAGAATCAATGCTTAGTAGAAGGCAGAAACAGAGACTGACGCATGAAACCTACCAGAAGAGTTCAGCCTGAAGATATGATAGAATTGCTTAGCCCGCTTGATCAATTTTCTAAATTTTAGCAAAAGCTAATCCCGTTCCATAAGATGATGATCGGACTCCTTCCTTTTCCAGGAAAAAATTTCTACAATCTTCCGTGAGGTGAGAAGATAATAAAAAGAAGGGAAGCAACTTTAGAGAGATGCGGAAACCCAAACCGTTTTCAGAAACCGATTATTTTCTTACTTTAATATGTCAATTTTTTACTTTTAGTATTAGTAAGTTTAAATTAAACAAAAGTAACATTTGTCAAATACTCCCTCCGTCCCATTGTTATTGTCATAGTTCACCTTTTTTCATGTCCCAAAATTTGAGTCACACTACAATTTTTTTTCTCTAACATTCCATTTGTAGCCTCAAAAGAGACATTGATAAAATAAAAAACAAGTATGATGGAACCCACAAAAGCAATAAATAGACATCCAAAAAAAAGGTGCGTGGACAGCACCAAAAATTTTGATGGCCATAAATAGGCGCGTGCTTGGCAACAACATGAAAAAGAGCTTACATTTTACATGGACCCACAGATTCTTTTCACATCACCATAGACAGCAATTAAGATTTGATATCGGTCAAAGGGGCACGATTGGAAAAAAATGTCTCACATTCAAATTGATTGAACTGTGCATAATAAGTTAGAATCCCCAAAAACGTCCCTTATTTTGGGACGGAGGGAGTAATAAGTAAATTAAATTACTGAAAGGGTAAATTTCCATTTTTGACTAAAACTTATCTTTCAGGCATATACTTACTAGTTTTAATTAAAAACTTACTAAAGTTAATATTAATTATTTTAATATAATATTTAAAAAGTCGCTAAAAAATTCGATTTGTCACTAAAGATAATAGAAACCTGTAATAGTAGGTTTCCCTACCATCGTTACCATAACTATAGGCACTGTAGCACTGTCCTACTTCAGGTATAAACTTTTGGCAAACAAGTTCTTGTGCATGGATATTCCCTGCTGCTGCACCCAAACAAAAAAAAAAATGCGCGCACACTCACACACAAACACATTACTCATGAGCATGTTAAGTAATTTGAAAACAAAAAGAAATATCTAATTAATTATCTAACTGAATTTAATATTCTATTATGAATAACGACTACTACTCAACTAGCATATAATATCTTACGCTATAAGCACATACAGAGATTATTTTCTGAACTTTGGTTAAAAAGAATAAAAAAGAACATAACCAAATTAAGAGAAATGAAGTACAAAATAACATGTATTTATAAATTGAATAATGCACATACCTAAAAGAACAAGAGCAAGAAGCAGGATGCAAGCATAAGAAGTTTGAGCAACCATATTTGTAAGGTACTTCGTCTAAGAGCTTTTTATCTATGTGAATGAAAAACAAGGTGAAATAAATGTATTCTCACAATCTTATTTATAGTATACATTAGAGAACCGGGACGGAGGATGGGGTTGGATTGAATCAAGTGATAAGATGGGAAGAACTTATAAAGAATGAAAGGATTTACATTAGAAAAAGTTACGTTGAGAACAAGAAAATTGATTTCTTCCGTACAGGAAACAAGCTACCATATGTGCATAAGCAAAATTGGAAAATAATTTACTTCCCTAATGTAAGATGGTTGTTTGATTGAAAGATTCCAATAATATAAAAGATGTAGTACCAATTAATCATCTAAACACCAAATTAGTGCAAGTCTTAAAAGAGCAAGCCTTATATAAACGGCATTTAACAACAACTTTCTTAATTTTGCGTTCAGAATACGGAATCCTACATTACATTACCAGGAGTTGAGCACATATAGAATACAAAATAGAGGGTAAAGCTTCCACCGACGCACCGACTTTTGGTGGTTAAGTTCCTACAAAATGTATAAGGAGTGTAAGTTGAAGCTAAAGCTCCAAATTAGTCAAATATTAAATATCTAAACAGAACTTTATTTGAAAATTCAACTATTAAATAGCTAACCAAAATTACCAAAAAAAAAAGGCTAATATGCCTTATTCTTTAAATAGACACTAAGTCCAAGCTTAAGGGGTAAAGTGAAAATTATCACACTTAGATTTGGCTTGGAGTTTGAGAGACCTTTTAGAATAACAAAATTTGTAGATCCGGCTCCTGTCCATTACTTATTTCTCCAGTTCTCCTCAATATAGCATTATGATTTTGACATGTGTCCAATTTGAATTCCAGGTCCAGGATTTCTTTTGCTTATAGCCAGCATCTTAACCTTGGTTAAGCACAATTTAACATACCATATTTACAATAATTTGGAGTATTTGAAAAAAAAAAAAAGAGCCAACCTTTTCCAGTCAAATTTTATATGGGAAAAGAAAAAGAAAGAAAAATCAAATCATAGAATTTAGGTTCATATTGTGACAGTTATATCCTGTTCAGATCATGATCTTGCATCTTTGTTTTTCTCAAAATTGCAGCGAATTGGTTATGTTTTTGTTACTTGAAACGGATTTTTTGTTCTGGGAATTTCGAAACAGTTCTCAAAGTACATATTCAGATTAATCATATCATTCTCATCTTTTTGTCATATTTCATTGTCGGTTTTCTTGCTTATGTGATGGTTTATGATTTTAGAACTTGAGTCACAGGAATAAGTTCCAAAATGACGAGATATTATAATTGTATAGTTGTCTATTAACTTTTTTCTTGAAGCACAACGTATACCAATCCGGCATATAAAAATTTTTTACATCTTCAAAAGCACAGTAGTGAAACTGAATTTTGCTATTGAGTTTCAGAATTTGGAAGAACTGATAATGTCTAGTGTTCTTCCACAATGGAATGGTAAAATAAAGAAGATGATTAGACGAGAACAGAAAGGAAGCCTAGAATTTTGCTCCTACTAATTTGGGTGTATTGAAGTGAGGTAACTAACGTTTAAAATCTAGTTAAGTAAATAAATCTTATCCCTCTAAGGGTCCGTTTGTTTCGGGTGAAAATGTTTTCCAGGAAAATATTTTCCTAATTTCCTGTGTTTGGTTGCACAAAAGTTACTGAAAACATTTCCCTATGTAAAATATTTTCACTCATCTTATGGAAAACAACTTCCCTTCCAAACTTACTGAAGTTATTTTCCGAAATGCATGCATCTCGCCTGTAGTATGTTCCAAACTTACTGAAAACATCTTGTAATATGTTCTTTTCTTTTTTTTAGTGTAAACAGGAGGACTTGAATCCAAGATCTCTTCCTTACACTCCCTCCCCCATACCACCCAACCCTCCCCCTAGTATATTCAAAATAAAAAAAAAAGCTCATCCTGCTCATCCTATGCTAGTAATTAATTATGTATAATAGGGACATTCTTTTCTAGAGAAACTTTCAGCAGTGAGAGTGCATGATATATGTCACAATAAGCATTGCATGTGATTGATATTTGACACTAAATGGCCAGCAATTTGTTTATTGCTTAAGGAGATATTTTTTATTCATATATACATTTTTCCAAGATATTTTAAAATTAAACAATGAGATAAATTTTCTTATTTTGCATGGGAAGAAGTATGTAGTTATAATGTGTAGAAAGTAAAGATAGAGATAAAAGTGAAAATATTTCAAAAGTTAAACAAACACCAGAAAAATGAAGTAAGAAAATATTTTCAATAAGCGAACCAAACACCTGAAAATGATGAATGGGAAATGATTTTCATGGAAAATTACTTCCACGGAAAATATTTTCCCAAGGAAAACATTTTACTTCCAACCAAACAGACCCTAAATTCCGCAAGGACAAATGTCAGAATATCTAAAAGCGTATTGAGGAAAATGGTCAGAAGGGACAATGGAGAGGAGCCAAATCCCAAACTTTGCGAGTTGAGGAGCCTATTAGACACTTTCTAAAACTTGATGGACAAAATAGGATCATTAATGATAAAAGTTGATGGAATATTGAGTCATTTACGTCTTCTTGTCTGATTGATTTAGCTCCAAAATACAAGGTGTGTACCAAAACAACTCTTAAATTCTAAGGTTTCTATAGCCACAAAAGAATTAGTGCAAGTAATGAAACAAACAAAAAGCAAAAAAGCAAAAACAAATAAACTCCACCTTGTAGGGAAGGCAGATGAATGATAAAGAGAAATTTGGGCTCTCTGCAATCAAAGTGATGACTTCAAAAAATGTTAATAACGAGAGATTTGTTGATTTAAAACTGAATGGATAAGATTAAGTATAAGTCACAGATTATTAATAAAATTTCTTTTCTTTTTGCACATTATTTTTTAATATAAGTATGTTATTTTAGTATCTACGTCTAATGTATTAGTACATACATTATTTTCTTTTACATTTATAATTGGAATAACAGCGGTGAGTAGTTGTTGATCCCAGTCTGGATAGAAATCAATAAAGAGATTATATTAAAGGGCTACTGTTTAAACCAATGGGTGAATCGTAGATTATTAAAATATAATTTGTAATTAAGAGAATATTTTGAATATCAAACCAAATTAGCTTGACTAATTTATTTGTGACTTGTAATGGCATTAACTTGACTCTTTATTAAATCTAGAAG